AATATTCTTGCTACCACTTGTTCGACATGTCATTCATACTATTTTTCACAATATAATCTGTCATTTGTAGTTTTGGTTTATTGTTAAAGAAACAACCTTTCTTCTACTTGTTCAAAACAATAATTTTTTATATGCAGATTTGGTTTGTTGTTAAACAAACAATGTTACTTCAGACTATTTTTGACAATTTAACAATAATCTGTTGGTTTGTTGTCGAACACGTGAAATATTATTTTTGCTCGTAATTTTTTGGTTTAATTGCGATGAATTACGTATTCCGCGGGTGAAATTATAGGTTTTTTCAGTGAAACATTAAATACATTGTTTTCGGCGATCACGACGAAAAACACGTATCGAAAATGCAATTTTAAACAATAGCCGCGTTTTCGTTTATAGATTCGGCACGGATAATTACTATAATTGTTGACTGCTACATCAAAACTTAATTGTAACTGCTTACATCCTGCCAGCCTTACCCACTGCTGCATTTCGTGTATTAATAAATATTCGACTTTTGCGGTGGCAGCCTCGTCGCATAGTACCGTCGCTCGCGGCCACTCAAAAATCAATTAAAACGTCGGATTTTTTCCGTGTCGGTGCGTTGCAGGAAAATTACGCGTCACGCGAAATCCAAACGAACAAGTAAGCTCTTTAAATTTTTCTACAGTTAAATGTTAAATAGGTTAATGGTGTGTAACGCGCGCCAATTAAAAAATTAAACGGATCCCACGATACGTTGGGAAAACTCTTTGGGCGCCGTTCATACGAAACGTCGCGCGAAACGCGAAAAAGAAATGTCCTTATTAAAGGTTGAAATAGCACCATATGTGTTATGTGTGTTTTATAGGATAGGTATTCGTTTTCAAAATCTAATGTACTTAAATCCGGCGGTCTTACAGGCCAAAGACGTATCGTACAAACCTTCAGTTGTCATTAGTTTCGTGTAACTGCGTTATAAATATGGGTAATGTGGTAGATTAGTATTGTTCTCAGTTGTACGTCATTTCGCTGTCACATAATTATACAAGGTGTTTTCTAATTGAATGTTATTAATTAAAGGGGCGATTTTTTGGGTTCATCTTAAAAGGAAAATTTCGTATGAACATTAATTTGTCTTAAATAACTAAACTTTTAAGATACAGGGTAAAGTTTTCAAAAATAATATATATTTTTGTTAATATCTGTAAAACCACTTTAGATATTTTAATGAAATTTGGGGCATATTTGCTATGTGTAAAGAGGCATTATTTAGCGTACCACATTTTTGAACAATACACCAGTGACGGCGTACAGAATTTCAACTGTCTATTTTGGCAGATTGATACTACGCTACTGATTTCTCCTAAAATAAAAATTATTCTTACAAGTTCCAATCATTTGGAGAAATTAACATATCAAACCTGCTCATAAATAAATGCAAATGGCATTATTTTTCTTAATGAAATTAGGTAGCCACTGCACAGGTTAAATCTAGAAATTTTTGTTGCAAAAAATAAAATATCTATCGAATGCAAACTAATTCGTTTTTAGTTACCAACTAGTAAACATCAGACAAAAAATTAGAAGACTTTAATTTTACAGTTTTAATAAAAACATAAATAATAAACGATAATAATAATCATTAAGATCACGTCAAGTGGACCCCCCATTTACCACTTGATCATAACAATTTTATCTATATATATTTTTTATAAGTACTTATGATTGAAAATTGATCCCCCAAACAATTTTTTAAAATTTTGATTTTTACGACTTAAAATTATTTGTTTTTTTTCGTATTATTAACTAAATTTTAAGTTAACAAATGAAAACGTAACTGATTTCTTGGTAAAAAAATCATGTTTATTTATCGGTCACATGCTTTATCCATTCAAGTTTAAGATTCCGGAGGAAAATTTCACTGCTCGTCATTAGTTTAAGCAGAATGAATTTATTTATGACAGCGCGCTGAGTACCGAGCGCTGTTGAAGCCCCGCACTGCCGACCGTCTCGAACAGCATTGAAGATTTTATCAGTGATAATTTAAAATAATAATACAAAATATCATTATAAAACAAATTTTATTATTATTTATGTTATTTTATTATAATTATTATTAATAAAATTTTATTTTTTTTAACAATTTTTGTATTATTTTTACCAAACATCGTAAATTTAGAAATAAATAATCAACTTTAAATTTTTAAAACTGTTATGGTCTATATTTATTTTTTGTAGGTAATTTAGTAAATTATTATTTTACATTTACTAGTCAACACTCCATCTTTAGTTAACAAAAGAAAAACCGCTCCGTTACGATTTTCATTTGTTTTTCGGGTGTCCTAGTAAATAAAAAAATCATTTTAGAAGTCATTCCTGTCTATTCGTGACATAAGTTTATACGCCAAGCATGAAATAACTATTAAAAATAAAAGCTGAAGTGTTGTTGAGTTCTGTTTTTATAGTTGATATTTTAGTTTTATAATTTTTAATTGTAATAATAATATTTTCTGTGATTTAAAATGGGCCTAGTGAATTATGAAATTATCTGATTAAAAAATAAGTTTTAATTATTATTAAAATATAATTTTGCAAATTTAGTTAATCATAAAAGTGATTTTGTGTTGATGCTGGACTTTTTTCGCTACATCTCATGACAAAGGAGCGTGTGTTGGCTTAGCAGGTAGTGTAAAAAGACAAGCTTATCGTGATAGTCTCCAACGTGATAAAAACAACCACATAACAACCCCACTTTCCTTTTTTCAGTTTCTTTAAAAAAAAAAACCAACCACGATTCGAACGCTTAACTACAATAAAAAGTACTCGCCAATTTCGTTATTACAAACCATTGGAAAATTTTTCACTGGAATGCAGGCTCGTTTCAGAGGATGAAAAAGTATTTATTTTTAAAAAAAATAAGTTTAAAAAAAATAAAAATAAAAATAACTGGCGACAAATTTACCATTTAATTATTTAAACTTGCTTGTTCTATTCAATATGTTATGATTCTTAATAAAGTTTAAAAAAAATAAAATTTTATTAATAATAGTCATAATAAAATGACATAAATAATAATAAAATTTGTTTTATAATAATATTTTGTATTATATCGTATATAAATTCATTTGTTTAAACTAATGACGAACAGCGAAATTTTCTTCCGAAATCTTAAACTTTAATGTCTTAAATGATTTAAGCCAAAATCATACTTCGAATTGAAAAAAATAGAGAAATTGGAGATTGTATGAATATATTTCGTTTTAAGAGAAATCAGCGTCTGCCAAAATCAGGTGAAATTCCGTACGTCCGAGGGTGGTGTATTTAAAAAAAAAAGTGGTATGCCAAATTTCATTAAAATTTCTCTTGTGGAATTAAAGATATTAAAAAAATATATTCCATTTTTGGAAGCTTTGCCACCCTGTGTTTCAACAGGACATGAAGTTTTCTTTTTAAAATGGATCGAAAAATTCAAAAATATCAATTAGTATGAAAGTTTCCCAAGATCTAAGGCTGCTGAAATTTTAAATAAGTTAGATAAAAGCTGACGAAAGATTGCGATATACTTTATACTACAAAATTATGTAACGTAATAGTGGTAAATCTGGCAACCCTGCTATTAACATTTTTGAATTCCGCATGTTTAAAAACCTCCATCGTTCCAGCTTTGACGATTTTAGAGGAATTTAAGCGTTTCGGTACTTTTTACTGAAAAAGCGGTGTTGCCGATGAAATAGAAACAGCAATTTTTAATTACGAGACTTTACTGAATTCGGCATGTGCATTTCATTGCAATAAAAATAAACTGGGCGTTTAACAGCCGTCTTTAAGATATCCATTTTATCAGCTCCACGTCCAAATTACGTTTAACGGAATTTTAAGTGGACATGAATGAATAAAGCGATTAAAAATAAATTAAATATATTAATGAATTTATTTTCTGTGCCCCAAAATACACCTTTTACCACGAGTAAGGCAACCAAAAAGGGCTTAAATAAAAAGCATATTAATATGCTATAGGTATAAACAAAATCAAAACTATTATTTGGTCTTATTTATTAAAATATGAATGTAAATATAATTAATATTCAGTCATTATTTGTCAATAATTTCTGCAAATTAGTTTATTATTTAAGAAAGACAAATCTCCATTGTTTCTTATATTCAATTGTAAACCTTCTAAAATTATAAAAAAAGGTCGAAATAATTTATTTTGTATTACTTTACTTTAGGGACTAAAGTAAATACAATACATCACATCGCATCTCCTAGACGGACATCAAGTATGTACTGATATATGTACTTAGAATGGACATGCATCGAATGTTTCGTGTTTATGGGTATTTTTGTAAATATTTTGATACCCACCTACAGGTTTTGGTGTGGGTTGTAACAAAACGCGGTGCATGGAAAGGTTATACATGTATATTTACCATTTCTTGTCCGAACTCATACTGAACCCAGTGAGTGCGTGTCAAAATATGGCCGGACATGCAAGCGAAAACCGAAATGAACAACAAATGCATTTTTTTTACACGAAAATTTACGAATATTATGGTTATTTTAAATTTCTTTATAATTAAATCCGTTCTAAATGTTTTTTATTTATAGACTCACCCATCGATACTTACATAGCAAATTACAAAACATAAAATCTAAATCATAGAAATCTTACGGTGACAAAATATTATTCGCAATTATAAAAAAAAATTTGAAGACAATTAATAATTCAACAATACCATTGATACATCCAGGTAACAGCAACAGTTCGTAAACAGACAAATAATTTTTTGCATTTATAAAAACAATTGATAATTAAATATTTTTCAAAATTTTATTTTCAATTAATGCCATTTTTTTTATAACCGTAGTATCTGAATCTGTCAAAGAAACAGTAATGTGTTTTTATACATAAAATTTACCAATTGAAACCGGGATTTTATACGTTCTGCCACCCTATTGATATTATTAACGAAATAAGTAACATGAAATAGGTTAGAATATAATACAGGGTGCTTCAAAAAAATGTATACACACTTTGAACTTCCATAGAAAATTTATTTACCGTTCTACAAAGTTAAATTTCAGGAAAATAGAAAGCTGAAAGTCCAATGTAAATGAAACATAAATAACAAATGTTAATACTGTTCAAATTGGTGACCTGCAGCATCAATACAATTCTGAGTACGAGTCACCACTGATTCTGTACATCGTATCAAAACGTCCAATGAGATTTCTCTACACACTGCTTGAATCTCATTTCAAAGAATGTCTAGGTTACGTGGTTTACGTTTGTACACCTCATCTTTTACTGTGCCCCACAAGAAGAAATCCAGTGGTGTAAGGTCTGGAGAGCGTGCTGGAAACTCGATTGGCCCCCTGCGTCCTATCCACCGGCCCGACAAATTTTGATCCAGGTAAGCTCGTACGTCCCTGTGATAGTGCGGCGGAGCACAATATTGTTGAAAATTAAAATCATCATTACCCTATAATGCACGAATGGCAGGAAATATGCAATCAGCAAGCATTGTTAGGTAATTAATACCAGTTACAGTGCCTTCAAATTGAAAAGGTCCAATGAGTCCCCTTGAAGACAAACCGCACCACACATTTAGACCAGGCAAATTTACAGCTTTTTCAATTGTAATGTGAGGATTTTCTTCACCCCAGTAAACACAATTGTGCCTATTGACAGTTCGATTAAGTTTGAATTGGGCTTCATCCGACCAAATGATGCTACCCATAAATTCCGGTTCACGTATCACCATCTCCTGAATCCATTCACAAAATTGCAACCTTCGATCTGGATCGTCGTCATTTAGCTGTTGCACCAGCCTTGGAATGTAAACACGATACTTGCCTCTCTTCAGAATGCGTAGCACGCTGCTAGCACTTACATCACTTTCACGTGCCCCTTGCCTTGAAGATTTGTTAGGAGAGCGTTGAAACAGTTCCAAGACTGCCGTTGATGACTCATCACTTGTAGCTGTTCGAGGCCGACCTGAATGACCTTTATGCACATCACACACTGTTCCATGAGCTTCGAATTTGTCTCGTATGTGTGTAATTGTTAATCTTGAATGTGGTTCTGTATCATACTCCCTTCTCCACTGTTTTTGAACTTCATTTACATTCTCAAACTTCCAGTACCACTTAATAACCTGTTTACGTTCTTCAGAACTCAAACGTGCGTTCCCCATGTTGATATTACAAATTCCAACTGATAATATAACATAGAGGGACGATTATGCTGGCACCTGGCGAAGAAATATAACATTAGCCTTGTAGAGCGGGAAAACTACAATAGTTTAAAGTGTGTATACATTTTTTTGAAGCACCCTGTATTTTAAAATATTTGTTTTGCTTAACCATATTCGACGCCAGAACATTGTTCGTGAGCATCGAATCCATAAGGCTCCTCTCTGGTTGCTCTATTTCGTCCATATTCATACCCGCATCGGCAAACTCATAACTTCCAGAGTCGCTGACCTCATTGTCGTTTGCTTGATCCTTTTTTTGCTGGTTGTCTTTTTTGCTTTTGAAAAGACTTGTCGTTTGGTGCCCGCTTTCTTAGGAGCGCTGATGGCGGATTTTTATCCATTTCTAACCATCTGCTGATCATCTGAGCTTTAGTTGATTTTCTTTCCCGGGTGGTATTTTTTTGTGACGGAAGTTACGAATGAAATGTCAAATGGTGAGACAAATTTAAACAAATAGTTTTGGGGTACCATGCTGAGGCTTGAGGCGAGATTTGAGGAAAAATGTGGGAGCTTTTCTCAGCTTCACTTTGCTCATGAAAGTCTAATTTTGAATAAATGACAAGAGAAAAGAAAACTGTACAAAACTATTTAGCATGATCAATAATTTCGTTAACAATTTTAAAATTTACTTTAGCACAGTAATTTATTGGATTCAACTAGTTATGTTCCACAGTTCCGTGTTTATCTCTAATGGGAGCGGTGCTCGATTTTCTAAATCGCAGCGCCTTATTGTGATGGTGCTCGAATATTCCAGTCGTGTCTTGACAGGCGGAGTCTGTTATAGGATTTCTCCAATTTCCAATTCTCGTGAGGAATTATTTATTTATTAACGCCTTTATTCACCATAAATTACAAAAAAAAGGAAACAATGGGAAATATAACAATTGCATGACATGGCGAAAAGGTGAAGCGTCGCCCTAATGGACTAACCAAAACGTTTTAAATTGAAAATCAATGGGCAGCATATATATTAAAGACTTTTTTGACATTGACAAATTCGAGGTATTTGTTTAAAATTTGGATAGCTCAAATTTTGAATTAAATTAATTTTTTCAAAAAGAAGTTAACAATATATTTCCGGATATATGGAATATAAATTTTTCTTTTTGGGCAAAGAAAGTTGGTTAATGTTTCCCGAACAAATCTGGTTATACTTAGATTATTATTTTTTTCCGATTATTTAGATCTAATTAAATATGTGTGTGCAATACATCTCCCACATTTATCAGTTGTTTCGTCAACCACAAGATAAAACTAATTTTATAAACACTTTCAACTTGTTAACATTAACTACCAATAATGTGCTTGAACACATAAACTTCAAAATTTCCTATTATACGAAACAACATATATCTGTCTTTTTTCACTATAAACTGACAAAAGAAGAAAAAACATAGTTTATTTTCATGCTGTATAGTCTGTCTCAATCTTCATCGTGCTCGCTTTTGTCAGCAATTATGGTATATGGGTTAAATTACACTAAGAAGAAACAATGACATTAAGTATATACAATAAATTCATAGCTAGGTATGAATAACCTAATTACATTGTTTTTGTAAATGTCTAATTCTAATTCTGTTTCACTATCAGGATCCCTTGTCAAATCTATATCTTTTAATTTCTTTGAAAGTGCGTAATCTGTGTGATTCCATTACTACTTGCCTTTTGTCTATTTTGTGGTACTTTTTACAAACAGCTGTATGCTGGGTTTCATCTTCTTCTAGCTTCTTTTTCAGTTTGTTCAAGGTAGGAACATCTTCGCTTCGATAAAGAGAATATATTTTCCTTCTTACTAGTTCCTGATCATTATTGTCTATACGGTTACACTACGTTTATTCCTTGTCCTTAATTCTCCACTATTAATAATATCCCTTATTGGCGTTTTTGTAAGTAGACATGTTTCTTTTTAAGCTTCTTGTTTAATAAGTCCTTTACTGATTAAAGTTTCATGCACATATTTCACAACCTGTTTTGCAGTGACAAATGTTTATTCGCAACATTGTTATATTCTCGTAAAATAACTTTTTCGAAGCGCACTGCAACAAATGACCACTCAAGGAATATATCTGGTCCGTCTCTGCCTTGCCACTCAAGTAAGAATAATTTTTTTGTTATTTGGCTTTACCCAATGACAATACTAATAACACCGTTATAGTTTTATTGGGGAGGGTGCGTCGAAAGTCAACACTATTTAGATTGAGACAGACTATACAAAACAAGTGAACTCCCGATAGCTCTTTCTCCACTTCATACGGAAGTTAGTGTTCGGCATTTTAATAAACAGTGGACAGACACAGATAATTCACTTTATAAAACAAGGCACGCAAAAACGTTTAAACTAGACGATATCGTAGATACTAAAAAGTGCCACTCCTTTAACAAAGAACCCCCGGCTTTTATTGGGAATATATTATAGTTTGGGTTTATCCTGGGTAATTCTATGAATCTATTCATACATAAGAAAGCAGTAAAGTACTTGACTTTGCCTCATCGTAATGTAACAAGCTAGTAAACAGTAAGCACGTGCACATTTTTGCAAAACGACACGAATACATTCACTGACATGACCGTCTGAATTGACAAACGTCAAAATTCAATACGCGGGAAATATCTCTGATCGCGGTAAAATCCCGGAAATGTCCGAAGTAGCTAGGAAGTCATATCTGTCATCGACCTTATTCACCATATTTGCTATAAACGAATGAAAACGCGGTACGGGAGTATGCAACCAATTATACGCCAACGCATTTTTCCGTACTTATAAAGAAATGATTTACTTTTTCTCACTTTTTGCTAAATGACGTGGAAAAAGCAATTACTAGTTAATTTTAATGCAGATTGCTGTTTTTGACATTTTGTGATATTTCAAAAGTGATGAGAAAGTGGTAAATAAAAAAACTGTAAAGATTGTTAGGACGCACAATTGAAAATTATTTTACAGTATACAGGGTGGTTCAAAGAAGTGTGGCCAATAAAACATACGTTTTTTTACATACAACGTGTTATTTTTAAATTTTGTTTTGAATCCCTGAATTTTAATTTTTCTAAAAAATACCAATTTTTGATTTGGAATTTGAATTATAAATTAAAACATGGCAACTTTCTTAAATGGCACACTATATATATTATTTATTAAATATGTAATATTCCTATTCTAATGACAAAATAGCATTTGGGCAGTTATAAAGCAATGACGTGTGGTTTGGATCATTGCCAAGATAGAACCGATAATTGCTACCCACATTTAATTTTTGGGCACTAGTAACCAGATGCTGTCTTAATATATCCAAATGAACATATTGGTTCATATTTCCTTCAATGACAAACATATTATCTACTCTTGGACATGGCATACAGCCCCATAATATTACTCCACCTCCACCCTGCTTTGCCGCAGCTTTTAAATTTTTCAATTTTAATTTTTCGTTAGGCTTTCTCGATACTGATATTTTTCCATCAGATCCAAACAAGTTTATGATATGCTCTCTAGGAAATGCCAATCTCACGCGTCTATTTCTTCGGCTAATGAAAGGCTTATTTCTGGCAGTTGGACCATGTAAATTATTTTTTCTACTCCCGTCTGTAAAATACCTAATTACCCACCGATCTAGCGTGCGGGAAGCGTCGCTTTACCACGTTAGTTTCGTTTCTCGCGAATCCGAGCCACTTCGGATATTTCCGGGATATTACCGCACGGGTCATTGTCAATTCTGACAGTCATGTTAGTGAATGTATTCGTGTTTTGCGAAAATTTACCCAAAAAGCAACGGTCATAGAAAAATTATAGTATGCAACACGTTCGGTAAACTTTTTAACTCACTCGTTTATTAAACACTCCCTCCGCTCGTGTCAAATAAACTCATGAGTTTATCGCACTTGTTGCATAATATACTATTCTCGCAGGAATCGTCGAATTTTTTCGTTGTTACACCTTTTTCCACACTGTCTGTCCACCTTGACACACATCTTTTTGTTGGATAATTCGAGACCTCTCTTACAATCCATCTTTCCTCACGTTCATTGAAGACCTTATTTGAAGCCAACCATGACTTATTCTCGACCCTATTTTCGTTACAGTAACGCTCAATGATATGCTGAACAGTTGACGGAGATTTATGTACCATTTTTACTATGTCTCTTTGGCTGTATTTCTGTGATGAGTATGGTCTGTTCATAGATATAAGGAAGTGATTAATTGCTTTTGAATGGGATTATTATCCAAGGGTGGTCATTAACATACAATGCAACAAGATTATTACCTAAAAATTTCGTAAAATTGTGGTCCGTAATAGAAAATAATAATTTTATACCTACCTATGTTTAATATCCTTTGCTTTGGTATACTACTTAGCTTAAGTTTATTAGTAATCATTCTTATTTCGTGTGCAATACAGCGTGTGTTGAATCGTGTGCAAATTATGCAAAACATGTGCGAGTCTAGTGTATCTCAGGAGATGCTTCCGCCCAAATGGAGAAAACACTATTCTATTGAGACTAAGGAAGTTATAAACAATGTTTATTTCACTCTCATTGAACGTGGTGCCAGCAAGCAAGCGTCTTTAGAAGAAACGGCCCCATTGACGAACATTCCAACATCAACTGTATGGAAAATTGTGAATAATCCCAATTTCAGCGAGGAAAAAAAGAAGCGATGCTGACATTTTCTCGAGTGTAGATGAAAGTGATCAAGATATAATATGGCGTAAAATTTACCATTTATACGAGGAACAAAGCGTGCCTACATTAGATATCTTAATTAGAAGCCTTGAAAAAGATGAAACCGGTGTTAAATGTGGCAGAACTACCTTATGGAAGTGTATTCAACACATGGGTTTTAGATTTTAAAAAATTGACAAAAGGCAAGTTTTAATGGAATCTTTTAGAATTAGGAAATGGCGACTGGAATATCTAGAAAAAATTAGGATTTACATAGAACAACAAAGGCTTGGATGAAACCTGGTTCGACATTTATACCCCGGAAAAAGGTTGGGTTGTCTCAACTGATAAGTGTAAAACAAACGCGCCATCAAAAAGAGAAGTAAAAGAATAACTATTTTGCATGCTGGCTCTAAAGATGGTTGGATTCCAAATGGACTTTCTCTGTCTGCGAAAAATATTAAAGATTCTTCTCTGGATTACCATGAAGACACCATCGCTGATTTATGTGAAAGTTGGTTTAAAAACAAACTGGTTCCAAACATTCCCCAAATAATTAAGTTCTAAGCAAAGTACGGACCTGTCCGGCCATATTTCATTCTTACAGCTTGTCCGGGTCTTTCCTTAATTCGTATCAATTAATCACTTTCTTATATCTATGAACAGACTTTAATAATTAAGTGTCTCTCAGAAAAAAAAATTCGTTTTACTGAACGAAAATGTGGGTTAAAATGTCAAACTAAACAAAAAACAGTTGCAGTAATAAATAAAAGGCATCTTTGGTAAATTTCAAGCTGCAAGTCTTGACCCCGGTTATTATTTTTTCATCATTTAAGCTGTGAATTCTCTATTGTTAACTCAGTAAGGCATATTTAAGACAAAAAGTAATTCACAATTTTTTAGAAGTCTCTGTACTAACTTAATTTGAATAATTTTTTTTTTCAAATAAATAAACAGACATTCAGACAGTTAGTTTTTGTTATAGCGACTGCATCATTTAAGCTGTGAGTTATCAACTAGACAATCCCTTCAGCGTTTAATGGAACGGTTTGATGTTAGTTGTAGTATTGAATATGAAAAACGGAAAGTGGTAAACCGAAATGGTACCAATGAGGAAATTTCAACATAATTCCCCATAGTCCTTTGGTCGGTAGCCTTTAAGTAGCCTAGCTTGCGTGATATCATCCGTTCCATGTGGAACTACACCAAGA